GGGGCGGAGCGGGGCAAAGTCTTTGCCCCACATCCGCCCCGCCCCGCCCCATTGCCATCCCTATATGAATACCACTTATACTTTGTGAATCTCCCCCTCCCTCCTTTGAAGCATTTCAAGTCTTTCGGATGCTTGTTACAGCATTTTGCCCAACATTAACAAAACCATTAAACTTATCAGCAAAAACCATTAAACTTATATGTTAAAAACAAGGATCCGTATGATGTGTCAAACATTGCTTTTTCTGATTCTCAACCGTGTACCTTTATAGTAGGAGTTTCTTTGGTCACTAACAACTTTTGAGTACATGCAGACGGATTGGGAAGGTGGTTGTTATCCAGTTACGATTCACTTCAGTGAAGATTATCCTAGCAAACCACCAAAGTGCAAATTCCCACAAGGTTTCTTTCATCCGAATGTGTATCCATCAGGAACAGTTTGCTTGTCGATCCTCAATGAAGACAGTGTATGTGGAATATGCCATTTCTCAGTACTATTTCACTTCTTGTTTTCTGTGTTTACATTATGACGGCTGTTAGTTGTGTTTTATCATCTGCAGGGTTGGAGACCAGCCATTACAGTGAAACAGATACTCGTTGGCATCCAAGACCTGTTAGATCAGCCAAACCCTGCTGATCCTGCTCAAACTGAAGGGTATCATCTCTTTATTCAGGTAAGTTTGGTTTCCTCAAATCAAATATTATTGCATTTGTCCCAAATCAATTGTCTTACCCTCAATTCTGAATATTTCCAAATCGATTCTTCTTGAAATGGAAAAATATGTTTTGTACTCTCCAATGTATTTTCTATATGACATCCCGAAAAAGGTAGTAACTACACATTTAAACTTTTAACCAGTGTTTTGGACGGCGAGAGGCAACAAAAGGCGACAAGGGCCTGCCTCGCCACGCGGCGAGGCAAGCGGCGAGGCGTTCGCCTTTTTGAATCGAGGCGCGAATTAATACCAAATAAGTGGATATATATATATATATATATAATAAAATATTACTAAAAATATTTATGAAATATATATAATAATGAATTGCATATTTTGATATAATTACATACAAAATAAGAGGAGTATAATTGTTAAAGAAGAGAGAAAATATAATAAATATTAAAAGTATAATTTATTTTATAAATAAAAAAGGACACTTATCTAGAGAAACCCTTTTGTCTCTAGTTTTCTTTTTCAAAAAAAGTTGAAAAAACTCTACTTTTTGAAAAAAGATAAAAAAAAGCTGTACTTCCTTTACTTTTCAAGAAAAAACTCCTCCTCTTCTTGTTCTCTCTTCTTCTCTGTACTTTACTGTACTTTTCAGAAAAAGACTCCTCCTCTTCTCTTCTCTGACTTTTTCAAGCTGAGCAGCAGCAGCAGACGCGAACTCGCAGCAGCAGCAGTCTCGAACTCAGAGCAGCAGCAGTCGCGACAGTCGACTTCAAGTTTCCAATCGCAGCAGCAGCAGTCGCAAACTCTAATTCCAGTCGAGGGATTGATTTCAAGTCTCCGGTCGCGAAATGAGGAGCAGCAGTCGCGACATAAGTTTAGAAAAAAATAACCCAAAAAAAACCCTAATTTGATTATTTGGCTTTTTAATTATTAAAATTCAGACTTTAAAAAAAAGAAAAGAAAAAGGCAACGCCTATTGCATCGCCAATTCCACGTCACCCCTCGCCTTGGCTCGCCTTTTTGATCTCGCCACGCCTTGCCTGAAATAGGCGCAAACCCCTCGCCTCGCCTCGCCTTGTCGCCAAAGGCGAGAGGCGCTCGCCTTTAAGAACACTGCTTTTAACCATGTGTACAATAACGAAACCAACACAAACTAGGAGATAAGAGACTAATCCTAGTTGGACTATAAACGCTGTAAATATCATCTGTCTTTATTCCCCCTTAAGTTGAGCAGGGTGCTGAACTACTGTCAACTTGTTCCTTAAATCAAGAAAACGAAACTTTGACAAGGGCTTGGTGAGCTCATCAGCAACTTGATCATAAGTACTCACATATCGAACTGAATGTGACTTAGCACGAACCTTATCCCGAACAAAATGGAAATCAATTTCCATATGTTTCGTAGGAGAGTGGAAAATGGGATTAGCTGTCAAGTAGGTAGCACTAAGGTTATCACACCAAAGGATAAGTACAGCAGATGTGAAGCAACCTATCTCCCGAATAAGGAATTTAACCTATGTAATTTCAGATGTAGCTGCTGCTAATGCCCGATACTTAGCCTCAGTGCTGGACCTAGAGACAGCTCGTTGCTTCCGTGAAGACCAAGAGATCAAGTTATCACCAAGGAATATAGCAAGACCAGTGGTGGATTTTCGATCATCCACGTCTTATTCGTGAAGCAAGTTATTTGAAGTTTGTTTGGAGAACAAGCCATGGGAAGCCAGCAGCTTTAACATAACGTAAAATACGTTTCACAGCCATCTAGTGAACATCCAGGGGACAATTCACGAATTGGGATACTTTGTTCACAGCATAAGCAACGTCTGGTCGAGTAAACGTGAGGTACTTAAGCGCCCCAACAGTGCTGCGAATTAAAATTGGATCATTGAAAGGGACACCAGAAGTAGAGGGTAGCTTCGATGCAGGTTGCATGGGCGAACAAACAGGACTACAAGCAGCCATATGTACTCGATTAAGAAGGTCCTCAACATATTTACGTTGAGACAAAAATAATCCCTCACCGGTCCAGGTTGCTGTAATGTCCAGAAAATAAGAAAGAGTGCCAAGGTCACGAACAACGAATTGGGACTGAAGCTGTGTTACGAGCGACTTGATTCAAGTAGGGTTATTACCCATTAACAATATTTCATCGACATATACCAAACAGATCAACTTATCAGTAGCAGTAGACATGTAGAATAAAGAGCTATCAGTCTTGGAACCCAAGAAGCCAAGAGAGAAAAGTGCATCACTTATTCGTTTGTTCCACATATGAGGTGCTTGTTTCAGACAGTAAAGAGAGCGTTTCAGCATACAAACATGATCAGAATGAGATGGATCAACGAATCCAGGAGGTTGCGACATATAAACAACCTCATCTAAGTGCCCATGGAGGAACACATTTGAAATGTCCAGTTGTGTGATATTCCAACCTTTAGTCACAGCTAAGGAGAGTAACAATCTGATTGTTGTTGCCTTGTTGGCTTTACCACCGGACTAAATGTGTCCACAAAGTCAATCCCAGGATGTTGATGATACCCCTTAGCAACTAAGCATGCCTTATGGCGATCTAGAGACCTGTTAGATTTCAACTTTTTTTGAACACCCAACGACAACGAATAACATTCTGAGAAGATGGAGGTACTAGTTCCCAGGTGCCATTCTGAATCAAAGCATTATACTCTTCAGCCATCGCACAACGCCAATGGTTATCCTTAGCAGCTTGTGAATAACAAGTAGGTTCCTCACTAGAATGGGTAATCGCAGACAAGGAAAATGGAAGCTTCGGTTTTAGCGTGCCTGTTTGAGTACGAGTAACCATACGCTGAACAGGAGATAGTGGAGCCGGAGATGAATTAGGTATCAGATGAGGCAGTAGGTACGACAGTTTGAGAGAGGTCAACACTCGAGGGAAGGCCATCATTATGATGTGATGGAGTTAATACAGATGGTAGCGGGGAGCTAGGTAGTGGTGAGTGTATTTTTGTTTCAGTTGAAGGTTGGTGTAAGATTAGACTAGGTGATGGTAACAGAGAAGTTATAACATTTGTCTCAGAGGAAGCATGGGGTGTTGGTTGTGAATGAAACATGGGTAGTTGTAAAGTTATTGGCTCACGGATAGAATTGGTCGATGATCTAGGCACCTGTGCATCCTGCGAGGAAAATGGAAATACATGTTCATCAAATATGAGATGACGAGATACAAAAAAATTTCCAGAAGCACGATCAAAACATTTATACCCCTTATGAACTTTACTATATTCTAAGAAAATGCAAGGTTTAGATCTAGGTGACAATTTGTCCTTTGCATAAGGACGAAGCCAAGGAACACGAAGACAACCAAAGACACGTAATAAGGAGAAATTAGGATCTGAAATAGAACACAAAAAGGGGATTGATGTTTTAGCCATGGTGTAGATAGTCTATTAATTGTATAGATGACTTGTTCAAAAGCAGTAGTCCAAAAATGAGAAGGAGCATTAGAATGTTGGAAGAGTGCTCTCCCTGTTTCAACAATATGCCTATGTTTTCTTTCGGCACAACCATTTTGTTCAGGAGTATAGGGACAAGAGGATCGCTGTGTAATCCCATTGTCATGTAAATATTGAGTCAAGGCTTGAAACTCGCCTCCCCAGTCAGCTTGAAAAGATTTAATAGATAACCCGAAATATTTTTCAACAATAGTACGAAATTGGATAAATATAAAAAGAACTCCAGGCTTGAAACGAAGAAAGTAGATCCAAGTATATTTACCAAGTGATAAAAAAAAGAAGACATAATATAGATAGCCATCATTGGAAACAACCGAAACAGGGCCCCAAACATTTGAACAAATTAAATCAGGAGGAGCAGATGCCTTAAAAGTAGACTCACTAAATGGGACTTTATGACTCTTACTAACAGCACATGTAGTGTATAAACTAGATGATTTACTAGACGCTAAAACAGCCGTGGGTAATGCTCGACGAACTGTAGGATAGGATGCATGCGCCAGACGAGCATGCCAAACACCAAGAGAAGCAACAAAGAAAGCTAGTGAGAGTAATTTTGTCACTGGAAGAGAATAAAGTCCATCCCTACTCGGGCCGGTGTGCAGTATTCCCCTTGTTACCAAGTCCTTAATCGAAAAATGGTGAGGAAAAATCCAACAGAAACATTGTTAGACTTAGCAAAAGAACTAATAGAGTTCAAGTTTTGAGTAGAAGTAGGAACGTGTAGAGTATTATCAAGTTTAATTTTTTTATCAGAAGCAGCGATGAAACATTTACCTATGTGAGATATGGTTAGTCTAGAACCATTACCTAAAGTGACTTCCTCAGGACCTTGATATTCAGAATGAATAGCAAGGTTATCAAGATCAGAGGTAAGATGATGCGTTGTACCACTATCCATCGACCAATTCTGTGTAGGTGAGCTTTGGGTGCTGGCTAAATTTGAGTCAGGGCGACCGGATATTCTTGTTCCATTAGGAGTTTTAGGTGAGGGACTGTCTCGTGCAACGTGCCCTTTGCCTTCACAATTGTGACAAATAATCGTTGGCATGTCTGAAGGTATTGGATTAGAGGGCTGGTAGGAAGCACGATTCTGAGTCAACTGAGAAAATCCTTGATTCTGATAGCGTCCATGACCTCGATTACATCTTCCTCCTCTCCCACGACCACGATTCAGAGTGAATGAACTATGTGTAAACTGTGCTGTTGGTGCAATAACAGTAAGAGCTTCATCTCCTTTTAATTGTTGTTCTTCATTCAACAACAATCTATATAAAGCGTAAAAAGAAATCTCCTCTTGACGTGATTCGAGTGATCTTGTGAAAGGATGATAAGTTGGTCCTAATCTAGCAAGAACAAATTCGACCAAATCAGTGTTGGAAATCGGATGCTGCAAAGCGGCAAACCTATACGAAATTCCCTTTGCCTTTATGATATAGGACTCAATACTTGCATTCTCTCTTTGTAAATTTTGCAACTGAGCTTTTAACTCGTGAATTTGTGGCCTTGAACTGGAAAGCAGTCACAAGTTTAGTCCACGCTTTTCGAGCAGTTTCAGCACCAACTAGTTGAGGTAATATACCTTCAGAGACTGAAGCAGCGATCCAACTTAGGGCAAGTTGATCTTCTCTTACCCAAGAACTATATGCTGGGTTGGGTTGATTGTTATCCAGAAGCCGTTCTGGAATCACCTCATCACCTTCAATATGATAATCAAGACCACAACCCTTAATCATAGGAAGAAATTGTCTCTTCCACAACAAAAAATTGGAGGATGTAAGTTTAACAGGCAGTTGATGGGCAAGGTTGGGAGAAGGAAAGCCAGTAGCAAAGGAATTATGTGTAGTGGGAGATGTTCCCGACGGAGCAGAGGAGTCACCTGTCATTGCTGCTTAAATTGTGTGCGTTAGATTTTTATTTATTTTTGGTTGTTTAAACCTCTTAGGGCTCTGACACCATGTAGAACCTTTTTCAATAATAATATGTGATGTACATGAGTGAATATATAGAGCATCTAACTTAAGAGTCCTACGGTTAGACAAGTACAATAACGAAACCAACACAAATTAGGAGATAAGAGACTAATCCTAGTTGGACTATAAACGCTGTAAATATCATCTGTCTTCACCATGGACCCATATTTCATTAAAATACACTAAATTTGATAGTTTAGACTGATAATTGATAACCATGGCGGATCCTATGAGACAGTTTAATAGGGGACAGAGACTACAAATTTAACCATCTTAAGCAGTGTAGGCCACCACTTAGTATGGGAGTACTACTCCTGGAATGGTAAAGTGTTCCCATAGCTTTTATTGTTGGCACTATCAGCTAGTGTACTTATATTATTCATGTCTCGCTTCCCACTGATTGCTTCAAATTCAAATTCTGGAACTGTTCGATGGAAATCAGGAGTTTGGTACTGCCTATATAACGTTGACGACAATAAGATTTAAGTAATTAAAAGTAGGCTCTCTATTATAGTTTAAACTTTTAGATTGGATGGTCATACACTTCAGAGCAGGCCAAGATCTTGGGGTTGGGTCTGAGTGTCATCACTATCGATTATCAAAATAATAAATAATAATAATTTTCATGTGCTTGGCCCATGAAAAAGAATCAATGCTTTCTTGTCAAGGGACGTGTTTGAAGACAGCATAATAAAGTAATTAAAAGTTTGATGTCTTCAATCGTTTAAGCTTTATTTTTAAATGAGATGATTACACTCATGGTCACATTTATGCAGGATGCTATTGAGTACAAGAAGCGGGTTAAGCTGCAGGCCAAGCAATATCCGCCTCTGGTGTAGTCTAAATAATGTTCGTATAATCATGTGTATGTGTGTGTTCTAATGCAAACTTCAAAGTAAGCTGTTCATAGCGTACTGATAGCTGGCACTGTTCTGGCAATATGATGCTGATTAGTTTTGTTGCAGCAGCGAAGTAAATCGTTATAGTTGGAATTAATACCTGATTCTGCTTTTCATTGTTCCTAGTCATCTTATATGTGTGTGTATTAACATGCAAGCTATAATTGTTTCAGACGATTGAAACATGTCATTGTTAATTTCTTTTGTGATATCAGAGTTCATCTTTCTATTCCTAATTTACTGATCTCATTATGTATACTTTATGTTTTGTTCCTAAGTGTCAGCTTTCTTCTTCATTTTACCTTTTTATGATGAGAAGCTTTTTCGAAGTGTAAGCCATCAAGAACCATTGTTAACTGACGAAGTCCTTTGCATCATATTACAGAGCTTGTTAGTCTTTTACATCGTGGGTTGTTGCGTAGCCAGTCACGGATTCAAAATGTGAAATAGTCTCTTGTATAGATCAAAGTGAGGTTGAGTACAACAGACCCAATGTGATCTTATCTAGGGGTGTTTGTGGTTCGGTTTGGATCGGTTATTGGTTAAAATCAAAATCAAATTAATCTAGTTGGCTTTTAAATTTCTAAAATCAAACCAAATGAAAAAATAACCGTCGCTTTGGTTATTGTAGGTTTGGTTCAATTTTTCTAGGTTTTTGGTTTGAAAGTAATTAGTTTTTTGAGGACATACGTATATCCATAGACACACACCTAGTACATGAACAATTTACAAAAAAACTATTGTTGGTCCAATATGCAATTAAGCAATACTAGAGTTATCATTACACGAACAAAGTGATTCGATTAAGAAAAAATGTAACTATTTTATGTGAGTCATGGTAAATTAAGACTAAAGTAATGAATTTTGATGGACTTGGTCTTAAGATTGTATTAGTTGAGCTAAAATTTAAGTATTGCGCTTGAGAAAATGGTAAAATTAAAACTTAAGTTAATTAAAATTAAACAAAATAATAATTATAAAATTTATATATCCATTTGATTGATTTGGTTATTTTTGAAGTTGTTTTTTTAGTAAAACCAAAACCAAACCAAATAGCATCAGTTTTCAAAATTTAAAAACAAACCAAAATCGGTTTGGTTCGAATTGCAATTCGATTTATTATTTTAACCATAACCATGAACATCCCTAATCTTATCTTTCCATGGAAATGATCTCACATTTCTTCCGTGTAACCCCATATGTATCATCTATGTAAAAATAAATCACTCCTAAAAATAATACATAAATTTGTAGTAAAGAATGACAATCTAACTTTTCTTTTTGCTACCAAGAATGACAATCTCTGTTTGATTGTTTAACTAAGTGGTGTCTAATCTAACTTGCAGAAGATAATTTATGCCGCGTCTCCATTTGGAGATGCAGCTTCCTCTTGAGTCTCCTTCACATAAAGTGGCACACTCACTCCAAGTTCCCTTAATCGATTTACCAAGTCATAAAGGAATTCGAAGGTGAGTTGGGATTGCTGGTTGAAATCCTCTCGAACGCTTGGCTGGATCCGAAACCACTCTCCCAACATCTTGTGCACATGAGAACGGATCATTCTCCATGGCACTGGATGTCTCTCACACAACTTCAAATAATCTACGAGTAACTCAGCTTGGTCTAGCTTACCATCTTCTTTGATTCCTGCAGTGCTCAATCCCCATTCAGCAGTTCGATATCCTGCAAATAGAGCTGGATTCTCAAGAAGAGACTCTGCCGAAAGTACCCCATCAGCACCAGTCTTTTCCAAGCAGTTATGTACATCATCCATGTGCCGTATATCACCATTAGCAAGGACAGGAATTCTAACAACGTCTCTAACAGCTTTGATGGCCTCCCAATTGGCTCTGAATTTCTTTCCATCTTTTTCATCCCTTGTTCTGCCATGCACTGCTAAAAGAGAACAACCAGCATCCTCCAACATCTTTGCATAACTAAGTGTATCTTGCAAATTAGGGAAAACTCGTATTTTGCATGACACAGGAACATCAAGATTGCTAGCCAACTTTTCTACCAGAGACTTCACAAGGGGAAGATTATCCATGAGGAATGCTCCGTAATTCCCTCGTCTCGCAATACGCTGGGGACACCTGCGTGGGAAATACAATTTAAACCAACTAAAATAAAGATACATGGTAAATGATCCGAGATCCGATTAGATAATCCGGTAAACATAGCATAAGACAAACTACAGTAACATGCATAAAACATTCTGCTTAGAAGTGGGAAAAAAAGCATCACAATTAAGGACATGCTCATCTTGAACTGGAAAACAAAAGCTGCTTTGTCCCTAAGCTCTTTACTCCTAATTCAATTTTTTACTTCATATACTTCAAATTAGCATCTATGCTCTGGCAACAGCGCAACCCATCAAGCCGAAGTACTTTTCCGAATTTCACAAATTTTCTGCATCTTGTAACCTAATACAACATCTAAAGCAATCCCAAATTTGTTATTCTTCTGCTGCTCTACATCTGAAGGTCGTCAAGAAGCAAAGCTTGTTCATTCTGTGATCAGGACCTGGAGCCCCAAGCACATCCAACTCGGTTAGGTCTGTACCAAATCTATGCCTCCTCGAACAAGAAGTTGCTAGTGCACCATTTTATGAAGTCAACGACGTAACAAAATTTAGAGTTAACTTCATCAAAATCAGTCAGCGACTCGACCAAAAGGTAATTTAGTAGATCGAACTTCGAAGAATGGAATTCTCCCAACATCGAGCCTGCTAATAGGCCTTCCAGTGGCAGTAATTTTTTTCACCTGGCAGTCCTAATGGAAACCTTAAGGTCATCCTTTCTGCTACTTGTAACAAGAGAGCAGCAATGCCGTTATTATATATCATATTTTACTCAACATATGGTTCTCATGATACAATAACTCATCAAAACGATCGCTCAACTCCCTATAACCTAAGTTGCTCGGACTCGGGTGTGGACCTAAAGGTTGGATCCTTCATGATCTAATTTTTAAGATTTGGGGATATGGATCACTAAAAAAAAAAAGATTTGGGGATATGGATCCATGTATGGATATGGGTGCGGGGATTCGCTTAAAAATAATTAGAATATCTAAAAATAGAGCAATAAAACCTAAATTATGAGATGTTAACTTGAGGAGAATCCTGGAAGGAGCATTACCTTGTCAAAAAAAAGAAAAAAAAAGAAAAAGGAGAATCCTAGAAGGAGATCAAAGGAAAAGGAGTGACATAGAAATATTTAATAAGAGGTATTTCATTTCCTTTGATTTCACCTTAGCTTTTGTATTGATTACAAAAATCATTAAAATTGTCCAGACTTTCCCCATCGATTTTGGTCAAAGTACCCAAATCGGTTGACCAAATCGGACACGGATCCCACAACCACACCCACGTCGTGTCGACACGGGTACGGCACCAAAAGTGAAGAGTCCGAGCAACTTAGCCTATAACCACATAGTTGACTTCAAGCAGGGCATAGACAGCACTAGGTGGCTACTATAAGTAAGCCAGTAAGGTGAAAATAGTTACTTCAGGGAGAGAAGGAGGTGGAAGCAAAAGAGAGTAATGGATATTACCCAACTGTTCATAGCAAACCCAAAAACAATTGTCATAAACTGACTTTTCTTTACCTTAACTAATTCCAAGTTGCAGATAGAGCCCATGATATAGATAAATGTTTCTCAAGCAAAACAGAGTCCAGTTTTCAAGAAACTTGTACAAACTTGAATGTAGTATCCTTATCCCTAATTACTAGGTTAAATTGAAATGTTAACTCGAATTACAACTGAGGCGAAGATGTATTCACAGTTCAAATACATTATATCCCTTCATCCCATAAAGTGTGTTGATGTCAAGAAATACAATCCAAAATAACAAATCCTAAGATTAGACAAAGGAAACGAACGGGAAAGGAGTTTACCCCAAGTTGATGTCCACATAGTCGCAGTAAGGCTCTACTCTTCGAGCTGCTTCTAGTAAAGTGTCTGGATCATTAGCACAGAATTGAACAAAAAGTGGACGGTCCTCCTGCAATTTACAAAATGACAAAGGGATAAAGTACGAGAACAGAGCCTGGAAAAACATAAAGGTACTAAAATATATATCAAACAAGGTAAGCAAGAACTTGACAAATTACAATGTAAATTCTGCAAGTCAAATGTATTTTTGTATAATTGTTCAGTTAGAACGTCGAAAACATTTCTCATCTTAAGCAACAAAAGTGAAAAATGAAGTGATCATCACATTCCATAAAATCATGCTATTATGACTTTTTCATTCTTATATTCAATAGTTTGTCTCTTAAGGAAAGTTCAAGGCTTTGGAGCACTATGAACTCTCAAAATTGCATATAAGTGAGCCAAAATTTGAATATTATGGGTTTGGGATTCTAGTAAGTTACGGGTTCTAAATTACTAATTTGTACACATTCAATGATTTTATTTTTTTTATGACAAATACAAAATTTGAACTGAAGTTACTGGATTTTACCGACGAAGAAAATTTCCAATGACAAAGTAGTTTACAAATCTGAATTTCCATACAACAACGAGAATTAGATACCTTGCAGGTAGTAAATTCAAGAGAGCGATACTTCTCATTTTCACTGAAGATACGGGAGTGAAACATAGGTGTATAAGCAGCTTGAGCACCATGCTTTCGACACAGCAGACGAAAAGGCAACTCTGAGTTGTCAACCATCGGAGCAACAATAAGTTTCGGCTCTCCTAACTTCTTCCAATGAGCCCAAGCTCTCTCTATCCGTGCTTCCCCTTTTAAGTAACCGTTCACACAATTCAGTCCAAATGGCTGCCTCTCTCCTTGTTCAATGATAGATGAAGTGGTAGCGGCGTCGGAGCATAGAAGATCGTCGTCGTCGACGACTTCGCCGTTAATGGAGGAATTTAGGGTTTGAGTTGCCATGGAAAAGTTTCTATAAAGGTGTGTGTTGTGGCGAGAATTTAGGTTTAAAATGGAGCTGACGGAGATAAGTTGGAATCTCATGAGGAGGCAGTGGGAATGACTACGCCACCCATCGCCGCCGTTATAGCGG